CGGCACTTCAGATTTTCGGGTGGGGGGGGGCAGTGCCAGTTGATTTATTGTTGTACATATTTTTGCTCGGGGGGGGGGACTTGGCTTTCCCTCGGGGGGGGGGGGGTGGAAGGGTAGTGCCACCCCTCCCGGAGATATAGCTGAAAGAAACACTGCTTGTTAGTTCCGTCCATTTGATTTGTAACCATTATCGTGTGGAGGTTGAACACACAGCCGTCCAATGGATTCTTAAATGGACTCAGATACCAGTGTGCACCTGAACACCATACTGACCCTTATATCGTTCTGGTTAAACATACTGCAGTGTGTTAATAAGCGATTGATACAACAGTATTCCACCGGCGTATATACTATATACGTAAATTATGGTTTGTAACTATCCTGATAGGGGCTAAATTCTTATATATATATATATATATATTAGTAAATATGTGTTATTAGAAGCTGTATTAAATAATTAAACTTCCTGCAACGCACTTTTGACATAAAGGTACACAGCGATTGATTGATAAAACAAGTATCAAACTAACGGCTGTTATACTTTATAACATTGTAGTAACTGCCCTGTTGTATCTTATATAGACACAATACATGGACGACAGTACAGTAGTAACTTCTAGACCTGAATATTAGCTCTCCTATCCACGGTTTCTTTCAGCTATATCTCCTATATCTCCGAGGGGGGGGGGGCACTGCCCCCCCCGGAGCAAAAATATGTCCAACAATAAATCAACTAGCACTGCTAGCACTGCCCCCCACCCCCGTGTACAGTAGTAACTTCTAGACCTGAATATTAGCTCTCCCATCCCCGGTTTCTTTCAGCTATATCTCCTATATCTCCGAGGGGGGGGGGGCACTGCCCCCCCCGGAGCAAAAATATGTCCAACAATAAATCAACTAGCACTGCTAGCACTGCCCCCCACCCCCGAAAAATCTGAAGTGCCCCCGCGGGGGAAAATTTCTGAAATAATCACTGCTCCCATCTAACACTAATTCTTAATGGAAGACAGTTTACTTGTTACAAGTTAAACCCGCCTCGTGATTCCTTTTATTCGAAGTTTATGCTTTTAATTGCCATTAGTATAACATGTATTATGTGATGCATCTATATCGTTAGTTAAGTATACTTCGTCATAACCTGTAATTACAAAGTTATTTAACATGTTTATTTGTTAGGTGTGTCAATCACGTGTGTTAGTCAGGACATTGTTAACCTCAAGACATTGATGACCTGTACTATTGGTATCTTTTCAGATGGTGTCCTTTTTTTCCTTCCGATCCTTTTTCTCCGAACATTTTCTTATAAAGAGTTTTCTTCTATCACTCCATTTTATACAAGACTCTTAAGAACAAATAAAAGGCTATAGTACTCAAGACCTGAGTTTCTTTTGTTTATAAACAAATATAGATGTAAAACTGTCTCGCCCACTCTTACCACTTGGTTACATGTGCATAGGCCTATATAATATACAAGTCTTTGGCCCGCCCTCGCCACTTCCTTCCACTCACACCTAACTTCTTTTCCATGCTGTATATCTTTTTCCACATCATCCATCCATCTAACATCAGGGGTCTCCAAACTGCGGGCATGCGGCCCGCGAGGCCCTCTCATGCGGCCCGCGGATACCTTTTTGTCTAGGGAAAAAAATTACGGAAATTTACGTGTATCCTGCCAAGATCAGATGCCGCTTACGTGGACGTTATGTTTTTACCGAATTAAAATAGAGGTGCGCAGTAGTGCGTTATATTTTCTAACCGATCATGAGTTGGTAAAACCTTATTGGCTGCTTAGTTTTTCTACTTCCGTTCAAAGTCAATGAGATGATATAACGCCATATCGTTGCGGAGCTTAGCCCACCGTGTTGCAGACATGGGTGAAAACATTGTGACTTAAATAGCGAAAAATGCAAGCAATTTTCGCCAATTGTTAATTGCAATGGATGAACCTCTTAACTGCTTGTGCTCGTTAGAGGTATCGAGGAAGACATGAAAATAACACAAGACCTTGGCTTCCCTACATGGCATGCACGACACTGTTACCGGAGAAAATATATTCAATGATTTGAAAAAAACATTTGCTGATTATAACTTGGTGTTGACTGTTGATGGAGGAAAGAACATGAGTGGCATAAAGAAAGGCTTGGTTGGACAAGTGAAGCAGATTTGTAATGAGAACAAATTCTGCAACCAATGTTCCTGCACTGCATTATTCAGCAGAAAGCTTTTTGTGAAAAATATGTGGACATTAGCAGCATACTGAATCATGTTGTAAGAGGGTTAATTTAATAAGGTCACATGGGCTCAACCATAGACAGTTCAGAGACCTGTTGAAAGATACAGACACAGAATTGCATGATTTACCGTAGTACAAAGCAATAAGATGGCTAAGTTGTGGGAAAGTTATGAGCAGAGTATTTAAGTTAAGAAATTAAATAGGTGACTTCCTGGAAAGCAAAGGCAAGCCACAGCCATTAGTGTCTGATGAAGAGTGGTTATGGAAATGGGTCTTTGATGCAGACATAACTAGTCATTTAAATTTCCTGAACCTAAAACTGCAAGGAGAGGAAA